TTTTGGGAAAACCCGGGGCAAAGCCCATTGTATTAAAATTCAAAGGTAAAAATTACAATAGAAATCCTGAAAAGCAGGAGAAAACCTATAAAAATGAAAAGCTAAGAACAATAGAACAAAGCCCAACTAATAGTTACAAAGGAGACATTAAACAATCAAATAGACTCAGGCAAAATAAGCCAGATCCAGTCAACAAATCATTCAGCGAAAACCGTCCAGCGCAGGAGGAAGCTCCGGTTGCCAGACGAGACAAAGGCCCTCACAGAACTTCCATCCATCCCAAGAATATCCGAAAAATAGTGCCAGGTTGCCAGATAGGGCCTTCCATGGCAACAAGAGGAATCTGGCTTGGTCATCATCGTCGGATTGTAGCAATGTCTCCAGTAGATGTAACCATTAAATCGGGAATGAACCAATCCGTATACCCAAGAAATGAGCATCCTGTTCTTCAAAAAGGAACATGACTGGATAGTAGAGAAAAACCAGCTGCAGCCATCAAAATGTTCTTCCCAGGTCTGAAGAAAATAGTAAATTATACCGAGTGTCCCCAAAAAACCAAAACTTCTTCCAGACAATACTAACAACAGTATAAAACTAGGACAAGAGACGTCCCAGGACAAAAAATTGCCGACCAAAACACCCAGAAAAATCAGATACCAAAAAATCTCCATAGAAGCAAGCCCTTGTTTTTCCATCTTGAAATTTTCAATCTAATGGCCATCGTGATGTTGCAAATCAATCTAACCGAGTTGGTTCGAGAATCAGAGAAACGCCTCAAGTTTCTCTCACGCCAAATATGATATAAGATGCAACCAACCGTTAAACAGCAGAAATCCTTCTCAAGTTTACTATGCGAACTGGAATTGGAAAAAAATTCGAGAACTTGAGCTAATGTAGGTCTGAGAAGAAAACAGTTCAATTCCGGAAGCATATACTTAAGAATATTAAAAGAGAAATCACAACCAAAGAAAAGATGATTGTGATTTTCAGCAGATCCATTGCAAAGGGAGCATAACGGAGCAACCTGAATTCCCCTAATCAGCATGTTATCAGTAGTTTTAAGTTTCCCTAACATAGCCATCCAAACAAAACAAGCATATCTAAGAGCATGCTTTTTATGCCATACAGCTTCAAACCAGTCCACCTTCAGCAAATGAGAATAAAAATGCTCAATAAAATTCTTAAAAACCCAATTGTGGGATCCCAGCCAAAGAATGCCAGAGGAATCTTCTAAGGTAATGTTTAAAATTGCTTCAGACAGAGAGTTAGGAAAATAGCTTGGGAGAACCCAATTCTCACCAGCAAAAAAATCTTTAACCAAAAATTCTCCCAGATGTTCCATGCTGAAATGTTTAGCAATGATAATCCCATTGAGCCAAGGATCCCATTTAAAAGAAAAATTGCTTTCAGAAGTCAGGGAGAAGGAGATGCAGTCTAAAATCTTAGTAGCAGTAGCACACAATTTCTTCCAAAATAAAGAAGCAGAAGGCGAGTAAGGTTTCCAAGGAGATATGTAATAAGTTTTATACCATTTACTCAAAAGGTTTTGAGTGTTATACATTCTGCCAATGCTGGTGCACATGACACCATGGTAAAGGGCTTCAATGGAGGGGATACCAAGACCACCAAGATGCTTAGGTAAAGTGACTTTAGACCAAGCTATAAGATGAAGCTTTTTCTCATGGAGATTCGAATGAAAAAGAAATCTAGAGCACAATTTGTTGATGAAGGCACAACAAGCTTTAGGTATTATAGACCCTCTAATCCAATAAGCAATGGTGTTTGAGATAGTAAATTTGAGAAATTGAACTCGACCTACAAAAGAAAGAAATTTGTTTTTCCAACCATCAAGTAGAGAAGTAATCTTGCTCAGTAGTGGTTGGAAGTGAGAAATTTTGAGTTTTTTTGTTGAAATAGGAATGCCCAAGTAGGTGAAAATAGTGGAACAATTGTTGATGCCAAGCACTTCACAGATAGCCTCTTTCTCATGGGCAGCGTTGGAGAAAACAATGGAGCTTTTATCAGGATTCATATGCAGGCCCGAAAGATTGCCAAAATGAATTAAACAGTTTAAGAGACCTTCAGCATTAGCCCGGGAAGCTTCACCAAAAACAAGAAGGTCATCACCATACATCAAGTGATTTATATTGGCACCTCTATCACACACTCCATTAAAGCCAGAAGTATTGGGAGATCTAATAAGGATATTAGACAACCCATCCATAACGATGCAAAAAAGTAATGGAGATAATGGACAACCTTGACGAAGCCCAGAAGTTGAATTAAAGAATCCTTCCAACGAGCCATTCAAACATATAGAAAAGTGTACATCCGAAATGCAACTATTGATCCAAGAAACAAACATCTCCGGAAAGCCCTTTTGGTATAATCTAGCAATCAGAAATTCCCTTGAGATAGAGTCAAAAGCTTTTTTGATGTCAAGTTTTGCACAAAAACTCTTATGAGAGCCTCTAAATTCCCTAAGAATTTCTGAAGCAAGAATGATGTTATCAGAAGAGCAACGGTTAGCAATAAAGTCAGCTTGACTTTCATGAATGATGAGGGGAAGAACTTTCTTTAACCGTTCAGCCAAAATTTTAGCAATAATTTTATATAACACATTACAAAGAGAGATGGGTCTGAAATCATTTTTATTAGTAGCATGGGAAGTTTTCGAAATCAGCGTGATTGCAGTAGCCTTAATCCCTTTAGGAAGACAACCAGAGGTAAAGAAATTGTAAACAGCATTGTAAACTTGGCAACCAAGAAGGTGCCAAGTTTTCCTATAAAAACCATAAGAGAAACCATCCGGCCCTGGTGTAGAGTTAACTTTCCCATCAAACACAGCAGATTTCACCTCTTCAAAAGATACAGGGGCTATTAACAGAGAGTGGTAAGAGGCGGGCACTAAATTACCAAGAGGGATGTCTAAAGGTAAAACCAGGGGATGAGGAGAAGGATTATACAAACCCTCAAAGTGTTTCACAATCGCCTTGGAGATGTCTTTGAATTCAGTAAAATGCCCATCAACCGTGGAAATTTCTTTGATGTGATTTTTATTGTTTCTGCTTCTGATTTTGGCATAGAGAAAACCAATATCTTCTTCCCCATGAGTAAGCCAAAGAGCCTTAGCTCTTTGAGAAATCCAAGAAGTCCAATACGCTTGAAGAGAGGCAAGCTTTTCATTTATGTTTTTCAGATTGGAGTTGAGTTCCGAATCCAACGGCTGAGTTTGTAATTCCAACAGACAGGCATTCAGTAAACCTTTAAGTTCTTGGATGGAGTTTGTCAGAAAAGAGGACTTCTTGATGGATATTAAAGAAAAAGAGTTTCAACCGCCATGCTTAATGCCTCATCCATAGCAAATCCTATCATGGCTAGCTATACTAGTCCTTAGGTTGAAAAAAATATATTATTATTGTTATTATTAATATTAATAACCGTATATTATATTTAAATTTTTGCAAATTATGAGCTATTTATTGGGACTTTGATTAGGCTCTTATAATTGAGCATTTTCGTTGATCCTCTTCTTGGACTTCAGCCTTAGCTCTTGTAATTGAGCTTTCAACTTGATTATCAAGATCCACATTATTTATTACATCACTGCTTGTGCTAATATTATACTCTCATTTCCCACTTTCATAACATGCTTCCCATCAACAAGCCTCCTCTAAGAACTAAGTATATGTAATAAGAAATAAAAATAATAAGCTGCACCTAATTGAGCTATCCAAAATAAAATATCATTTTCAACTAAATATACTTCAAGGACTAGTAAATCTAATTTACCTTCTTTGTCCTTGTTCTTTTCTTTAAACTCAATTCCATATTTAAAATTCATCTCTTTTAGTCCAATATAATCATATTATGTAAAGTATCTCTAGCATTGATATCTCTATATCAAATAATCTGGATGATAAGGCTATTTCATTCATGATATTTATGGACCATAATAATAATATTTAGTTAAGTTTTCCTATTATAATTAACTATTATTGACTACTTTGAATTATTATCCTTAATTTAAAATTACATCTTGAATTATAGTTACATAATTAATCATTGAAACAATATGATATGATAATAATTCATGCATGCTAAATCTTATTTTTTTGACCTAATTTATTCTAAATATTTTGTTATCATCTTGCTAGTATTCTTGGTTTTGTTTACAATTGACAAAACAAGAATCCTTCCAGCATTGAATAAATTGTAAATTTTTATTGATTTTAAGTTGTTCAAAATTTTCATTAATTTCATTTAAATGACATTAACATGTTTAAATATTACTTTTAAAAAAAATTTAAATTTTTTATAAAAATATTCACATAAAAAATAATAGAAATAATTATTAAATATACTACATATTAATAGGTAATGTATGATCAAAATGATGTTAAGGTCTGCAATTTTTTTTTTTTTAATTTCTAAAAAAATAATTAAAAAATAAATAAATAAACTGCTACTACTTTGGGATTCCTTCAGCACAACATTTCCTTGTTTCCTCTCCCATTAAAATTAACTAATCTTGAGAAGTTCTTCAATTTGTCCTAGAATGTCTGGAGCTTGGTATCCTCAGTAGATAATATTAATAACTTTTGAATTATCACCTAAATTGCACCACAGGTGCGTTTGGGACAGCTTTTCAGAACTTTATATGATAAGAAAACTTTCGCAATAAGATCTGTTAAGAGTGATAGTTGTAAGCTGGCAAAACAGAAATTTAAGTGACAGAGATCCAAAAGATTTACTGAAAATTTACAGAGGTAAACCTTTTATATCATAGAAGATTGTAAGAAAATTTAAAGAGTAAAATTTTCAAAATTATTGTAGCTGCATAGAGCTTTCTCAAATTTACGCTTTCATTTGGGATAACTTTCATACAGTTTTTTAAAATAGCTTTTTAGTACAAAAAATTTAAATTCAAAAAAAAAAATTTATACTAAAAAACTAGTTTAAAAAACAAGAAGAAAATCATCCCAAACGAAACCTAAGAATGAGAACCTTCCCGATTGTACCATTAATGATGAGAAAAGTCGTCCCAAAAGAAACCTAAGATTGAGAACTCTCACAACAAAGGCAGCTTATGTCCATTTCCTTGCAATCCAGATAGAGATTTGCAACCTCATCATTACAGAAACATTATTGATTAGAGTTCATAAGATTATGGGGTAGGATGGAGAAGTCTTGAAGATTCCTATAAAAACTCACAGAAAATGAGAGGAGAGATATCAGAGTCTGGATTGTGTACCTCCTGCAACAACAATTGTTTCTCCTGTGATATATGAGGAGTCATCAGATGCCAAGAATGCTGCAGCAGCAGCCATGTCTTCTGCCTTCCCCAACCTCTTGAGAAGCGTTTTCTCTTCGAGACTTTTTCTCTGTGCCAAAAAATAGACTTTGCTCAGTATACAGAAAGCAGCGACACGGACACGGAATACGTCAATTATTAAAAAATAAAATACAGATATGGGTTGGATATGATATTATAAATTTTATATTTTAAAAGTAGCATATAAAAATTGAACAAGGATAATATTAAAAATAATTTGAAAATAATAAGTAATTAAACTAGAATTTATGCTTAAAATGATTAATATTATGATGTTGAGAGTCAAGCATCGAAAGATGAGAAGACAATGCTATTGAGAGTTTGGCATCGATGTTATGCAAGTACGTATCGGGTATGATGTCAAGAGGGCTTTTATCATCGATGTTGATAATGTGTTGGTTGTCTATGTTAAGACCACGTTGAATAAAGATGACCTATCAAATTGTGGGTGTATAAATTGCTAGCATCGAGTATCAATACCAAGACAGTGTCAGACTTTGATGTTGAGATGATTTTGAAATGTCGATATTGTAACGACATTAGACGTCAATGTTGAGATGACATCAGACATTGTTGTGAAACCAAATTCGCAAGCCGCCAAAGAGAAATGAAAATGAGAATATTAAATGAATGGGATATTGAGTGCGAGCAATTAATTTGGTGTTGTGGATAAGAAATAAGAAAATTAGTTTTATATTTTAAATAAATAAAAAGTTTAAATACAAGAAATTATATTTTAAAAAATCATAAAATATTTAAGACACGCATGTCCAATTTGTATTTAATATTTTTTTATCAAACACATTTTTAGTGTGTCGGACATGTGTCGGAGGCATGTCGGAGGCGTGTCATGTCGGATACGTGTCAAACACTGCACTGCTTTTTGAGGAGAAGTGTCGATGCATCATAGGTAGAAGATAGTCTACAACAATATTTGGTCACAAAAAACAATTTATAGGATAACTAGTACGACATCTCCAAAATGTAGGTGGGAGTAATCTATTGAAAAGCACGGAATAACACAAAATAGCAGAAAAAAATATCATAATCAAATGCAAGAATTGGATGGGGATTACATGAATTAAGCAAGAAAAAAAGAAGACTACTTGAAATGTATAATGAATTTTTAATGGAAAATAGTAAAGTTGGATAAATGATTATCTAGGAAAAGCAATTCTTCATCATCATTAGCATTATCCCAAAGGTCGGAATGGAAGAAGAAAGAAATTGAATAGTTAAATATGGAAGTTTTATGCAAGCGATGTGATCCAAATACTTACCAATAATTCATCTCTTACAAGGAAATCTGCAAAGTTTGTTGGCACGAATCCTGGAGCTATACAGTTAACACGTGTATCTGGACTCATCTCAGAAGCCAGGGCCTGCAAATATATGCAGAAAAGAAACATCAGTCAAATGCTAAATACCAATGCGTATAGGTCCAGGATTAGAACCTGGTTTTTCAATCAATCCCTATTACTTGAAACCCAAATTAAGTAAGGGATAATTTGGTTGCCTGAAGATTGAAAAACAAAGTTTCTTTTTTTTTTTTATGAAACACCAATGACTTTTTTAGATTCAAACTATTATTAGGGTTTAAACTCAAGACTAACTTGAAAATTTTTCAAAAAATATGAGTGAAAATAAATTCATTATTTACAAAATACGTATTTTTTCACCCAAAAAAAAAACAAAAGAGCCAAAAGAAAATTAAAAATGGACATAAAATTAAAGATTAAGGGAATGTTTGGTTGGTTGAAAAAAGAATGGATTGTAAAATGAGTACTTTTTGGTTGTTTGAATGTGTAAAATAAATAAAGATAAATGCATTTGTTTGGTCTGAAGTAAAATGAATGTAGTATAAAGTCCAAAGATCATGGAAGTGGTTAGAGGCGGTGGGGGTGGCCGACGATGGTGGTGGCCAATAGCGACTGGTGTAGGGTAGTAGTGGTGGTGTCTGGTGGCTAGTGGCGAAGGTTGGCGGTGATGGCTAGCAATTGATTGTGGTTGGCAGCGGGGAGTGGCGGTGGTGACCAGTAGTTGGAAGTATCAACGATGGCAAGTGACAAGAGGTGGTGATTGTGGCCAACGACGGTGGCAGCGACTAGTGGTGGTGGTCGGTGGCCATCGATAGGTGGAGGTGGTAGTGGAGGCGGTGGCGGGTGTTGGTGGCGAGCAGGGCAAGAGAGGTTGTTTGTGGTGAAAACGTTTTTCGCACAAAATTAGGCAAGTTTACTTTATCTCAAAAATGAAATAAAATGCTTTATATTGCATTCTTTTTATTTTACTCTATATTCCTTTTTCATCAAACCAAACACTAATATTTTTAAAACCCATGTAAAAGGTTTATGTTACAACTGCATTACTTCAAACCAAACATGATGAGGACATCGATCCAAGGTTCAAACATGTGTATCGCCGGAAGCATCGCAGATCGAGGGCCACGATTCAGAGCTTATATTTCTAGTTGTTTATGCATTTTATTTTGATGTTTTCCTATTGTACCCTTATGTTGAGTTGAGTCATGTTGGAGCCCTGAGGGCAATTTAGTCTTTCTTTCTTCATGTATACTTGAGACCTATATATATGGGTCTTTTCTCTTGTAATAGCTAATGATGATTGAATGAAAATCTTATGTTTGTTTCTACTTCTTGCATGAGAGCTTGAAGAGAGAGAGAGAGCTCAAGGGGAGCAAATCGCAAGGCCCACCAGTCGTTGGAAGAGTCCACGGCTCGTGGTTAATTTCTTCTATCATTGCGTTCATAATTTTCTTCCAATTTCTTCACCACCACTACAAGAAATCCCTCCTCACCCCATTGCCGCCGCCCCTTGGGAACCCACCGCCGACCACCACCATAACCCCGGCCGGCCTCCTTGCCGGCAACCTCCCCTCATCCACCCAACCCCTTCCTGCACAAATTTCAAATTTGAAATTTGAAAATTTCAAATTTCGAGTTCTTTCCTAGTTTGGAACTCCAATTTAGGAAAGCTTTCATCATGAAATTCAATTTCAATTTGATTTAACTTGGAGTTATGAGACCATTTACCATGTCATCATCCTAAATTGGAAACCCTTCTCCCTTGAATTCCCCTCTCTCCCTCTATGCATGCCGCCGGCCCCCCATGAAGAGATTTCCATTAATTGCTTATTTAATACTTTGACCGTTTTGAAATCTCAATTTGAATTCAAAGGTTTTTCCCTCCTAAATTACTTAAAACTGAAATTAATTTTCAGTTTTAA